GCATTCTCGGATGCACATCCATCGGGCCCTGATGACTTGAAGACATCTAACTTTCCTACATAATTTTTAAATTGTGTTTTTTTATTTTATCTTCTAAACCTACCCCATTTCCACCAGCATTCACTACGTTAGGCATCCCTTCATCAAATGTATTGGTGAAGACAAAAACAAAGAAGTCATTAAGCACCTCTGCCATTTCCAAGTTGCGTTATTGTTTCTCCCTCTTCACGGTGCAATGAACCTACCCTGTCCTTGGTCTTCCTCTTGTTTCTAATATATTTATAGAATGTCTTCCTGTTACCCTTTATGTCTCTAGCTAGACCAACCTAGTTTTGTGTCTTTACCTTTCTAATCTTGCCCCTGCATACCTGTGTTGTTTGCTTATATTCATCCTTTTTAATTTGACCTAGTTTCCACTTTTTATAGAACTCCTTTTTTATTTTTAGATCATGCAAGATCTCCTGGTTAAACCAAGGCGGTCTTCTGCATAGGAAGGATAGAAAGTACAGCAAAACAGTTTGCTTTTACGCCCAAATGTCCCTTTAAAATAAACTGCCAACTCTCTTCAGTTGTTGTTCCACTTAGTCTTGCTGCCCATGGGACCTTACCTACCAGGTCTGAGTTTACTAAAATCTGCCTTCCTGAAATCCATTGTCTCTGTTTTGCTGTTCTCCCTTCTACCATTCCTTAGAATCATGAACTCTATGATTTCATGATCACTTTCATGCAAGCCGCCTTCCACTTTCAAATTTTCAACCAGTTCCTCCCTATTTGTTAAAATCAAATCTAAACAGCTTTCCCCCTAGGGCTATGTCTGCACTGCAATAGGGATGTTGAATATAGTTTAATCTACTAGTCAATTAGTCGATAAGCAAGGGAGCTCCCAGTCTCAGCAGCTAACCCCACTGTGGCTCTGCCTTTTAAACTTATTAAGAGCAGACAGGGATGAAGAAAGACTGAAATGTAGTTAATACAGTTTGAACCTCTCTAGTCCAGCACTCTCTGGTCCAGCAACATCCGTTGTCTGACAAGATTTTATTTAGCCAGATGTCCTCTTGTCATGGGTGTGGCCATGTTTCCCCCCCCCCCCAATCCCATAAAGTTTGTTTATAGCCACCAGTTCTGGCTCTCAGTGTTCTACATTGTTATTTACTCTAATTTACCCCTAAGTGTCTTCTAAGAGCCTAGTAAGCAGTAGAACTATTGGTAATACTACCAGATAACATTGACCTCCCGTGGTTCAGCAAATTCTCTGGTTTGGCACAGGTCAGATTCCACGAGTGCCGGATTAGAGAAGTTCAGCCTGTATTAAGATGCATTCTGTTGAGAGGCTATATAAATCAGAACCACTGATAGTTTCCTTAGTGGTAATAACTACAAACAAAACAGTATGAATTAGGGGTGGTAGCGTGTAGACAATTACATGATTAACCAATAAGCAGCAGTGCTGTGGGAGAGGGCAGGTGGGAACCAGTGCTGGGGGGAGTTGGCTTAAAAGCCGGTTGCCATGGAACCGCCTGTCCCCGTTCCCCATGCTGCTGCCTCTGATAAAGAGGCAGCAGCCTGTGGGCTGAGGGGGAAAGGCAGGAGCCAGTACACATGGGAAGCAGCTTTCAAGCCAGCTCCCCACATGTATTGGCACTGCTGCCTCTTTATCGGGGGGGGGGAGGTGGCAGAAGCTGGTGCTCATGGGGAGCTGGCTTAAAGTCAGATCCCCCCAGCACTGGCCCCCCCACCCCCGCAGTGTGTAAATGTGTAATCATTAGAATTTCCAGCAGTTACATGTTTACACAAATAAACAGTAATTAACATCCCTAGGGTAAAAAACAGGATGGAGAGCCCAGAAGTATTCAACCAGATTTAGCACTAGTTTCACCAGTGATAATTTTTCCCTCAACAATAAATATGTATTTAAAAAAAACCCCTCAAACTAACATGCTTGTTAAACATAAGTTCTCAGACATACAATATAAAAGCAAGAGGTCTCTTCTCCCCAATCCAAAAACAGACAAAATGTAGACAAGAGATTATCAACTCTTGTCAAAGGGAATGTATCTCCATGCAGTCACACCCATGATATATATCCATTTCCCCCAGTACGTTTGACAACACTGCACTCCAATTTACAGATTCTCATTCATTCTGCCAATTATTTCAGATTGTGTAGTAATTTTCTCATTGGTTATGTTCTGTAATGGGACTACTCTGTAAAACATTATTCAGTGCAAGTAAGATGGCACAATCAGACCCTGAATTAAACTAGTTTCTTGTGTGTTATGTTACTCTTTCAAAGTGCTGAACAAACAGTAATCCAAGAAGAAGAGACAGAAGTGGAAATAGCTTTGAGAGCAGTAGAAGTCTCTCAATTTGATGAAAAAAAAAACTGGCAATGGGGTGTGTTTCAATAAAATAGGTTTTAACAAGAAATCTCTCTTGTTCAGACTGCCCCTGCATGTGCACAGTAAAAATGGTGAATTGTGAAACTATTACTGTCAAACCCTGACTACCCCTCCCCTCACCTATTTAAAATGAAATAACAGCTACTAGACAATAAGACAAAACAACAAGGGCTGTGTAATTAGAAGTGGGGGCTTTGCCTTTGAAGTAAGTTTTCATGGCATGTAAACTATGCAGCTGTATAATGGGTAGAAGGAACCCAGGATGAGAAAGGAGCGGGATGGAGGATAATACAAAACAAATTCAATGTATCATGCCACTCTGTAAGTCAGTGGGATGCAAGAGTGTAACCATTTAAATAGTTAACTGATAGGCATGAGCTTATTGGTTACCATTCCAGTTACACAATGGCTCACAGCCCCACTCCTGGGGGAGCCAGTGTCACCTTGCTCCCCCAGGAGTGTATCAGCCAGGAGTGGGGCCAGGAGCTGGTGCACGCAAGCTGGCATGTGCATTGGTTCCATCCTTCAGCCGTGTTCCCGGGGAGTCAGCTGTTGCCTCGTGCTGCGGGCTCTACAGTATAAAGTGTATACTGCAGAACTCACAGTATAGCCGGCTCCCTAGGAATGGGATCGGCAGCCAGCATGTGCCAGGAACTGGCTTACAAGTCGGCTCCTGGCGCACACCAGCTCCCAGCCCCACCTCCCAGGGAGCCAGCTGCCACCCCACACTGCTGGCTCTGTATCAGAGCCTGCAGGATGGGGCAGCAGCTAGCTCTCTGGAAGTAGAGGTGGCATAAGCCAGCTCCTGGTGTGCTCCGGCTCCCAGTTGCCTACCCTACTCCAGGTAAGCCGGCTGCACTGTGGGCTCTGCAGCATAAGCTTTATACTGCAATGCCCGCAGCATGTAATCACCAAGACTTTTAATGATTGCATTGTTAATCATTTTTTACATCCCTAGTATAGCCTTAACTGGAATACTGCAATCAGTTTTTGAGATTCCATCTCAAAAGAGATACTGCAAAATCAGAGGGGGGGTTGGAGATGTGCAACAAGACAAAGCATTTTGAGCAGGAAATACTTTTATATGAGGAGAGATTAAAAAGAGACCAGGATTGTTTGCCTTCAACTAGGGATGGCAACTGTTACAGTTAACTGCTAAGCATCACTCTTAACAGGCGATGCTTACCGGTTCATTTAACCAGTGGGGGCTGAAGCATCTCCCCACCCACCATGGTCACAGGGCTGCTCCAGTACTGACAGGTCTGTGGCAGACAGGGTGCTCCAGCCTGGCTGGAGCAGTCTCCCTCCCCAAACCACGCCTTTAATCAGTTAACAGGTTAAACACTACATTTAACCAATTAAAAGGGATTTTATATCTCTGTCTTCATCAGGGGAATCTTTACAGGGAGAAGAGATATTATTTTAATTCTGTGTTTGGTGCTGTTGCTCCCACCACTGGAATATTATGTAAAGGTCTGGCACCTAAAGTTCAAGAAGGATGTGGATTTATTGACAGGGTTCACAGAAGAACCATGAAAATTATTAAAGAATTAGAAAACATGCTGTACAGTGACAGACTCTAGCAGCTTAACTTATTTAGCTTAACATAGAGAGGGTTAAGGGGTAACAGTGACAGTCTACAAGTACCTAAATGGGATCAAATATTTAATAATTGGCAGTTCAATGTAGCAGAGTAAGTTATAGCACGGTACAATGGAAGCTGAAGTGGGACAAACTCAGACTGGAAAATTTTAAATTGTGAGAGTAATTAATCACTGAAAAAAATGTATCTGGTCTAGCACTGAATTTTTAATTCTAATTCTTCTAGGGGCTCTGGATGTTTTTCTGAAAGATATGAACTAGGAATTTTGAGGAAGTCCCCATTGCCTGTACTATACAGGATATCAGACAGATGGTCACACAAATCTCTTCTGACCTTAGAGCTATGAAGGGGGAGGGGGGGATAAAAGCATGCAAAACAACCCTCAAGCTATACCTTGTATTCACCCACGAACAAGGGGGCTTTTAATAAAGCCAAGAGGAGCCAGGTTCATCAAAACTGAACAAAGGAAGTGACTTTCCGCGCACAACACATAGCTAAGCGAGGGAACTCACTATTACCAGAGATCACTAAGGCAGGATTCAAAGAAGAATTTACAGGTCACATACACATGCAAAACAACCCTCAAGCTATACCTTGTATTCACCCACGAACAAGGGGGCTTTTAATAAAGCCAAGAGGAGCCAGGTTCATCAAAACTGAACAAAGGAAGTGACTTTCCGCGCACAACACATAGCTAAGCGAGGGAACTCACTATTACCAGAGATCACTAAGGCAGGATTCAAAGAAGAATTTACAGGTCACATACAGGGAGAGAGTCTGGAAACCCTCCTGCACGAGGGCATAAACCATCCTCTAAGGGACTTAGCCGAAAATTTTCCCGGGGACAGGATGCTCCATCACCTCTCTCCGAGGCACCATGGGTAGCCACTGTCAGCGCCCAGGACTAGCTGGGGCAGATATAAGAGAGTGGAGGTTCCCAGGCTGACTGCCTCCCAGATGTGGGGTCCGCCTCGGCACGGATAGAGGCGGACAGGTACCTGGCCAGGTCCAGGAAGGAGTCCACCGTCTCCTTGTTGGTGGGCAGGGCATCGGCCAGCCCCAGCGCGTTGGTGTTCAGCGCCTGGGGGCCCGCCCCGGGGCGGATCA